GCCTGGTTCAGCTCACCGTTTCCCCAGCCTCCCTTGTAACACCCTGACACTTAATAGGTACTCAATAAATATTTGTAGAATGCGTGAATGAAAGGGACAATGTGAGTTTTCCCTTTTCTCACACTCACCTGTGCAACCCTCATTCATTGGGCAGTTCACGGAATTGCTCAGGTGCCTGACCCCAGGAGGAGCATGGAAAGAAGAGAGTCTGGAGCTGAAAGGAGGGACGTAAAAGGCCCATCTGAGGCCCATTAGCATAAAGATGATAAAGGAGTCCACCCAAAAAGCAAATGGAGAAACTCAGGAAACAATATTCAAGGGGTCAGCCAGAAGAGGAGGATGAGTCAGTGTGGCAGGGTGGAGGAAGGTTTGAGAAGAGGAGGCAAGAGGTAATCCAACAGCAGAGTTTGAAGGTGGAAGTGGGTGGGGGCGGGTACGTGTCTGTAGAAGTCACGAGGGACTGGTTACCAAGCACCCGCCCAGACATGGGCAGAAGCACCCTTGTGTTTTGTGGGTGGGCAGGGGAGCTGGGATAACATTTTTGGAGGGCCATTTTAAACATAAAAAGCAGTTCCACTTTTGGGACTATCCAACAGAAATACATAACTTTGCGCGGATACACATGCAAGAATAGTTGTGGCAGTGTTGCAATGTTAAAAAATTGGAAACAACCTGAGTGGTGAAATGGGGGAGTGGCTGCATCCATGGTACATTATTTATATGATGAGAAACAACGCAGCCTCACCAAGAGTGTGATGGGGACATGTGCACCAATGTGGAAATATGTTGATGCATTAATTGAAAGAAAGCAAGCTAGGGAACAATATGTGTGCCAGGATCCCGTTTATGTTTTAAAAACAAACCTCTATTTGTGTGCATAAAAGTACATACATGTTTGTGCATAGAAAAAAACCTGGAAGGATACAGGTGCACTCTGCCTTTACCACTATTTCTTCTGGAGAATGGAATTCGGGGTAGGGTAAGAGGGGATTCATACTATTTGGTTCTGTAGTATGGTTCGACTAAGCATGTATTCTGTGATAAAAAGGAAAAGGAAAGGTTTAGGATGTAGATTGAAAAGGGAGTCTTGCCCTCTGGGAGCTCAGACTCATTAGACTGGGGGGAGCAGAGAGACCAGTTGCACTGGGAGGAGTGGATGGGAGGGATGGGCAGCTGCCTACAGACTGTGAAGATCTTTCCAGAAGTCTTCTGGTGAATGGCATTTTTGAAAGACGATGCTAGCTTAAGGAAGAGGCGTGACGGAGAGGTGGTTTTTATCTAGTGGAAAGTGTTGGCTCATTGGTAGGCTGAGGGAAGGGAGGCGAGATCAGAAGTAATTTCACAGGATATGGGGGGGAGGGATGCTTTGTGGGGGTACAGAAAGACCTATGTGACCCAAAGCCAAGTGGAGGAATTTTCAAAAACAAAACAAAACAAAAAAAGCATGTTGCTGGGGGGAGGGGGAATAGAGACAGATAACATGAGCTGGGGAGGGTCAGGGAGAGAGTTCAGAGTTGATGGGCCTGGGTTTTTATCAGAGAACTAAGAGTGGCTCACGTCATGGAAAGTGAGCAGGCTGGAAACGGGGACAATGGTTGGAAGGCAAAAGTGTAAACTCTGGGAAGGGAATAAAAGGGTTAGTAAACTGACTACCAGCTGGTAGCAGAGAAGGGCCCAGCTGAACTGCTAATCGTAACGTTTGTAATGAACAAGCTGGGAGTTCTGCATTTTTCTCTTAACAGAGCTCAAGTGCAAGGCTAGAAGAAAATAAAAGGTCATGTTGTTCCAAGGCTGGGGACAGCAAGGCAAGGCCACCATACAGGAAGGGGGATTGAGGATGTTAAATGGGTTGACCATAAGGTAGAGAAACCACATGATATGGAACTGGAGATATTCAGGTTGGGATAAGCAGTGGTGGAAGCATTCTGAGAGAAGGTAATTGTGGAAAACGAAGATGGGGTTCAAGGTTTGGCTGTAGGGATATGTTGCAGAAGAAGAGCAGTGGGGACAAGGTTCCTTGAGAGTTGTTAAAATTGTCTAGGTCAGGGCAATGTTGGGGCAAAGATAAAACCCATGATTCTGAGGCCAGAGATCTCCATTCATTCATTTAACAAATATTTATTGAGCACCTACTGTGTGTCAGGCAGAATTCTAAGCCCTCATGGGAAGGTGAGAGTGGGAGTCCACTGGGTTGTTGATAGATGGAGACGGGAAGAAGAGAGTCATGTGGCATGGGCCCTGGAGCTCCCAAGAAAAAGAAGCATCACTGAGAAAGGAGTTAGAATGGTCAGGGCAATGAGGCAAGCTTATGAAGGTACCAATGGGCTTGGGATGGCTAGGAAGAAGAGCAGCCTCTTTCTTTTAGAAGAGTTGGAAGTGGAGCACCATCAGGGAAAGGCAGGCTTCCGACGAGGTGAAGGTAGGAAGCTAGTGGGTGTTTTGGCTTCCTCCTTGCAACCAGGCCTGCTTTCCCGCATACCTTGGGCCCTGCAGAATGGTACAGGGCTGACAGAAGTGGAGAGGCAAGTCTCTCCTCAGAAACCACAGGCTCCATCCTGGGGCTGTGACGCTCCTCTTGACTTCAGCTCTGGATTCTGGCCCTCATCCATTGTGTGGAAGGGGAGAGAAACAAGAAGGGTGAAAGAGGGGCAAAAAGGACAGAGAAGGGTCCAGGAAGACAGACGTGGATGAAAACAGGAGAAGCAAGAAGATATTCCTGAAAGAAGAGTGTAGATGCACAGAGGAGGCAGGATGGAATGGGGCCAAGCACATCCTGTTCTGCCATGTCTTAGGGGTTCCAGTTAGCCTGCAAAGGTCCCTCTAATGGCTTCTGCTTTTCCTTCAGGCCACCTTGAAGCCACAGGGAGGAAGAGGTCTGGGTGCAGAAAGGGTCTGGAGTGAGGTGGATGGCAATGACCTGATGACCTGGGTTCACTTCAGGGGGATCTCAGGGAGGATGCCTTTCCTTCTACCTGAACACGCTGGCTCTCGCCAATTATGCCACCTTCCCGATTGCACTCCACTTCCTAGGGTCACCTGCTTTCATTCTGTCCCAGTCCCCACACTGCTGACCTTGTCACTTGAGGTGAGCGTCCTGCTCCTCATTCCCCCTCTCTTGGGGACTGGGCAGAAGGGTCCCCCGATGCACTCACGACCTGCCCGTTGGCAGGGCGCTAGCAATCGAGGTATAGTCTTTTAGGTTCCAGACAAAGCTTTCAGGCAAGATGACCTGGGGCCTTTGGTTTCCCTAAGGGCCAAGAAGTCTCTGCTTTGGGAGGAGCCTCTGTGAGTCTGGAATGATCTTTCTGGAAGAGCTAGAGACTGAAGCCTTTTGAGGGAGGGAGAGGAGCTGAGTTCCTGTGGACACCTTTTCCTCCTCTTGCCCTCAGTCTTTGGGATGCCAGTGAGGCCTGCCACCTCATTGGCCCACCAGCAGGTGGTCAGGTCACTCTTCCTTCTCCTGGCTCCTTCTGGAGAAAGAAAACAAAGGCAGCTGAGATGGGTGAGAAGAGAAGGCGACAGGAAGTGAGGGGCAGGGGCCCATACCCCCTGGTGAGAGGGGCTCAAGAGGGTGGGAAAGGGTCTAGAGTGCTTGGAAGGAAAATCTACTCTGCTGGTCTGCAGGTAACCACCTGTGAGTAACAGCAGATAATTCTAGGGCAGAATAACAGAAGAGAAAAAAGCTTGCAACTGCTTAGAAGAAGGCCTGAGGTAGAAGAGTGGAAAAGAGAAAGTGCTGGAAACAGACGTGCTGTGACTGTTGGTGGGTGGGACATGGACATGTGCTCACCTCAACCTGCAATGAAACCCTGGCAGGGGCTCCTTTTGGGAAGGAAGAAGGGGTGCAGTGCGTAAAGCAGGCAACCTCACATGACTTTCTCATCTCTTCACTGTTCTGTGAGTACCAGGTGACCTCTATGACATCACAATTCTCAATATCCTCGCAACCAGGGGCAGTAGTTTCTCTCAGGCCTCGAGCCTGGACCATGAACTCTGGAGAAGGGGAAGCTCGGGGTGCTTCTCCTGACCACCCCCACGCTGCCCTCCACTCCCAACCTTTGACTCAGCTCTGGCTGAACTCTACCTTCATCTGGGACCACTGTGGTTTCTTACACACCAAACCTCTTCACCTGCCTTTAGCTTACCATGACCAGGATAAGCTCACAGGCGACAGTGCCACAGTGGCCTGGAATGTCAGACGCCATGCCTGGGCCCTCTGTCAAGGGCAGAGTCACTGAAAAGTGACTGTAACAAGGGCAGGACCTGGCTCCCTGGTGCTGAGCCCGCAGTGGGAGCTCCCAGCACTCCCTGTATGTTTTTCAGGAATCCCTCATGCTCTCAATGGGTCTTAACTCTACTTGAAGCTTATTTTCAGCTTAGAAACCTCCCTTGAGAAAAACTATCTGCTTTGCTAATAAACAGGTCCTTACAGCCCCAAAGGGTCTCCTAACCCTGATATAATAGGATTTCATGAACTGACTCATGATCTCTGCTGACATATCTTTACAGACTGGACAGCCCAGCACAGCCCTCTTCTTTCTAGAACCGCTTGAGCTTCCAGGCACCCTTCTCTGGAGTACAAAAAGCCTGGGATCAAGTCAGCTTCCGGTGCGGAAGCTCCTTGCTTTATGTCAGGGTCAAATGAGGTTCTCTTTGGCTTTCCACTGGTGATCCTACTCTTTCACTGGCCCCATGTGCTCAGGGATGCCCAGATCCCTGTGCTTATCTCCAGGCCATGCTAGAGGCTGTGCTCCCGCCACACACCCTGAAGTTCAAGCCTGCCATTTATTCCCTGCTTCCCAAGCTGTGGCTTCCGCCGGCTTCCCCCCAGCCCCCCACCACCAATGGTTGGAAATTTAACTACTCTCACTGGGTGTCACTATTTTTGTTTTGTTTGTTGTTTAGCTTTTATTTCATAATCATAAACTTAACTCTGCAACCCAGGCTATACTTGGAGGGGGCAAGGAAAATATGGAACCCAATGAACTGCAGCGAGAGCACAAAGATTGTGTTCCGAGCAGATGGGGCAGGGGTGCTCTCCTGACTACAGAAGGAATGGTCTGGTTAAGATAAAACCAGTCAAATGCATCAGAATTGTCCACAGTCAGCAATGGTAATCTTCCTGCTCGTCTTGCCATTTCTGGACCCAAAGTGCTCCATGGCTTCCACAATATTCATGCCATCTTTCACCCTGCCGAAGACCACATGCTTGCCATCCAACCACTCAGTCTTAGCCGTGCAGATGAAAAACTGAGAACCGTTTGTGTTGGGTCCAGCATTTGCCATGGACAGGATGCCAGGACCTGTATGCTTCAGGATGAAAGTCTCATCATCAAACTTCTCCCCAGGGCTGGCCGAGTGGCTCAGTTGGTTAAGAGCTCGCTCAAGAGTGTGAGCTCTGAGCAACAGCGGTTCGAGTCCCGGCCCGAGCTGAGCAGCCGCTGAGCTGCCAACAGGTAGCAGGATGGCTCAGCTAAAAAACAAAAACAAAAACAAAAAAAAACCTTCTCCCCATAGATGGACTTGCCACCTGTGCCGTTATGGCGTGTAAAGTCACCACCCTGGCACATAAATCCTGGAATAATTCTGTGACAGCAGGAACCCTTATAACCAAATCCTTTCTCCCCAGTGCTCAGGGCACGAAAGTTTTCTGCTGTCTTTGGAACTTTGTTTGCAAGTGGCTCGAAAGAGACGCGGCCCAAGGGCTCGCCGTCGACGGCGATGTCGAAGAACATGGTGGGGTTGACCATGGTTGAGCGTAGGGAAGTTCGGGCGGCGGCGTCTGGAAGGCCATCACTATTGTTTTTTGTGTACCCCATTTTCCCATTCAATAAGACAGCTCTCAGCATGGCTCCACAGACCACCCTACTGGTAACAGTTGTCTGTTCAGAAATATACACGTTCAGTTCTGCTTTTGAGTTTTGCTTTGGGTAATCCATTCTTCTTGTCAATACAAGTGTTGACACCTCTTTCTGTCTCAGATTTCTTCCTCTTTAAAACGCAGTCCCCAGGGACCTGCCTATTTCATCTTTTCCCAACTGCCTCTCATTTGGGCAGCACCTTGCTAAGATTGGATGAATCATGGAGGGAGGAGGAGGTCTACTTGATCCTGCCCTAACTGTGCCCTTAGCTTTCCCTGTATTGGTCCAAGCACACATATTCTTTCCAGATAATACCGAAGGAGGACAAATAAGGGGAAGTACGAAGGCTCCAGGACTGTCACCAGGTCCTCCCAGTTTTACCTCATGGTCTCTATTGCAATGTCAGTAATGGTCCTCTGTGTTCCTTTTATGTCTCGATGGAGCTGACACCTTACCCTATTCCTGCTCCTTCTCACATTCTTCTTCAGAGCCATGCTCCAACCCCTCCAAGGCCCCTCTACCCTGCTGTGGGTGAAGGAGGCTGACCTGAATGAACTACAGGGCAGCTCCCAGTGGGGTCGGGAGGCACTGGCTGAGATCAGGAAGGGAACGGAGCTAGGGGAGTGAATGCTGGCTGTGGCCCTCGGTGGGAAGCCACAGCTCTGGCCTGGCTGCCCTGTCCACATGGCTGCCCTCTCTAGTCTCATAACTGAGTGCCTCCCTCCCACCCTGCCCCCCTACACACACACACTTTTAGGTCCTCTGTTTCTTTCTGAAGCATGTCCTAAACCCCACCATTGCAGTAGGTAGTCAGGAGGCTGAGCTTTGCTCACACTACCCAGCGGCGTAGCATGGCTTTTGTTCCTGCTGGCTCTCTGGCTGGTACATTCCTTCTCACCAGCGTGATTTCCCAGCTTCTTAAACTCTTGTTTCCTGTTGGTAAACACACAAAATCTGGCGCTCCACCAGGAATTCTGATGCACCTCTTGGGTAGTGTGGGAGCTCCCCCCCCCACACACACACCTCACAAGCAGGCACCACGGATGCTCAGGAGGGACAGACTGTTCACTGTGGAACCCGCCTGTCCAGGTTCTGTGGAGCTCTACATTGCAAGATCTGTATTGTGAAAACCCTCGATGGTTTGTTTTCTAAATGTAAAATTCAAATGTGCTTTTATTCAAAAGGCATCTCCCAGAGATTCTGAGGCTTTTCTGAGACTTTCAGATGAGGTAGGATGGTTGGATAGGAAGCCTGAACTCTGGGAGGAGCGGTGGGACCAGGGATGGGAGAGGTGGAGGTCTCCATGGCTGGTGGTGTTGCTGAGAGGAGGGGTCCAGAAAAGGAGTTTAATCCAGAACTTTGGGGAGAGTTGACACCTGAGTCAGGGGCAGGCACAGGAAGAGAACCAGTGTTGGAGAATTCCAAAAGGGCAGAAGTTGTGGGCGTGGAGAGAGAGATTTAAAAAAAATTGCTGTCCCAGAAGTCAAGGGAAGAGTCTCAGCGGAGCACCTGTGACCCTGTCAGATGCCACCTAGAGGCCTGCGCTGTATCAGGTGGCTGTAGCAAGGCCAGTAGTGAGCTCAGCTGGAGCTGCTGCTGTGGCGGGTAGGGGCTTTTCAGGGACCCAGCAGGAAAAGAAGGGGTTGCCTATTAGTGGCCTCAGAGAGGGCGGGGCTGAAGGTTCCTGGATTAGTGGAGAAGACTGAAGAGCCGAGTCCTGGGGTGGCGGGGCAGGGGTCCGAGGACTCCCCACCTCCCTGAGGCCTTGGGAGAGAGGCAGATCCAGTTGATGGGCACATGGGAGCGTGGGGGGTGGGGGTAGTGCAGGTCAAGGCTCTGGGCTCCGGGCTTTTCTGTCCTCTGAAATAGCGGCTGAGAGCCTTTCTAGAGTTTTTGGGTAGTGGTTGCAAGAAGCCTGGAGATGTCACAGCCAAGTGAAAGAGTGGGCGCTCAGGGCACACACTGTCCTGGACAGCAGCTTTTCTGGGGTACTTTGAGGCCTGCACATTTGAGGCTGAAAGACCAAGTGGGGGGTACTGTTCCCAAGCTGGGGGATGGTAATGAAGCTGAGGCATCCAGGGAAGAGCCCAACGTGGTGAATGTTGATGAAAGGGGCTCTAAGCAATGAAGGAAGGAAGTGAAGCCTAGATGTTGAGACCTCAACAGGACTCCAGGACCTGGAGATCTCCGTGAGATTGAAATAATGAGGACATTTTTATAATGACTATTTGATTACCTTTGTAATCAGAAAAAAAGTCATTTAAAAAGAAAGCCAGACTGTCTGAATGCCCAGCAGCAGTATAATGGGTAAATACGTTGTGGTATATTTCTACAATGGAATACTATATAATGCCATGCAACAGCATGCATATATTTCAAAACATAGAACTGTTAAGCGAAGAGGTCGGGCATAAAAAACTAGGTACGGGGCCGGCTGAGTGGCGCGTTGGTTAAGAACCGGCTTGGGGGCCGGCCGAGTGGCGCGATGGTTAAGAACTCGCTTGGGATGCCAGAGGGCCCCGGTTCGGATCCCACATATGAGGGCCAGTGACACTGCCCTCCACAGCTAAGATGCTGAACAACAGCTCGACCTGGAGCTGGGCTGCCGTGGGTCGCCAAGGACGGCATAGGCTGCAGTCCCCTGCTGCAGTGGGTTGCCATGGGCTACCGTGTGTAGCCAGCAGCCAGCGTGAGCGGCCAGCAGCCGCAGTGAGTGGCCATCCAGAAGCTGGCGACTGATCTGCCTCGCCCGGGAAGAGCGCAATGATGGTGCCAACTTGGGCCAGTGAAGCAATGTCCTCCACAACTAGACTGAAGAACAAAAGGACAGCAACTTGTCTGTTTCCCTTCCCCCAATTCCCCAGCGCTGTTCCCCTCCCCCAATTCCCCCCCCAAAAATCTTTAAAAAAAAAACAAAAAACTAAGGGCCTGCGGTGGCTCAGTTGGTTAAGAGCTGGCTCAAGAGTCTGAGCTCTGAGCAACAGCAGTTTGAGTCCAGCCCGAGCTGAGCAGCCGCTGAGCTGCCAACAGGTAGCAGGATGGCTCAGCTAAAAAACCAAACAAACTAGGTACGACTTGTAGTCATTTATGTAAAGTTCAAGAAACAGGTAAAAGTAAACTGTGGGGTAAAATTTCAGGATAGTGAGTACTCTTGGGGAGAGAGGTCATGAGAAAGGGATGGAGGCGCTCCCCGGGGCTGCTGCCCTCCTATTTGCTGACCCCCATGCTAGTTCCCCGGGGCTATTCAGCTGGTGAAATGCATGGGCATATATGACATATAAGTATATATGTCATATATTTATGGTATAGGCATTTCTCTGTGTGTTCATTCTATTTCAATAAAAACTTTATTTAAAAAAAGATTACATGAAGCAATTCCATTGCTGGGTCCAGACAATTAACAAAGAGGCTGGATGTCAAATTAGGGTTCCAAGATTTTATTAAGCTGAGCTCAGCGACCGCCTCTGCAACTAAGGAGAGACAGCCCTAAGGCTGGGGGGAGCGAGGGGGGGGTAGGGTTTTTATAAGGCAGGGCTATAAGTAAAGTAAGTTACAGAAGCCAAAAAAGAATGTGCAGTTATTCCAGTTAAAACCGCATCCTGCTATCACAACAGTGCCGTTATGTTCAGATGTCTTAACAGTATATCGTGATCGGGTTGAGCTGACTGCACAAACTGTCCCTTAGAGATATGGATAATCAATGTTAGAAACTAAGGATGGAGGTAGAGAAACTCAAGTTAACTGTTGCAAAACCTCTTTGATTAAGATAGAGGCCAGGGGAGTTATCTGCTGTGAGGCCTCTTGATATGTTAAGATAGAGGCAAGGGGAGGGGAGGAAGGGGGAACTGAGGAATGTTTTTCTTTAACCTTTTATTCCCCGGCAGAAGCAAAGCAGGTGTACAGAAGCAAAAAGAGCTGTTAGTTCTTAGGGTCTAGCTGCAGTAGCTGAAGTATGATTTTTTTTAACGTGAATCTGTCCAGCCTAGGGTCCGGGCCGGGGTCCCTTCACCATTGGGTTCCAAGGCCAGTCACTTCTGTGATCACTTCTATCAGATGTCGGACCTCCTCCTGGCCAGCTGCAAACAGCAGCCATCAAAGTGGCAGTGAGACTTCCTGTCCGCTGCTATAGGTGAAGAACCTCTGCCTCTGTCTTCTACACCTGTCCTCACAGGTTAAAGGGAAAGACTTCCAAGATTATCCAGAACATAAATACTAAAGGCCATTTCCCCTCTGGAATCGTCTGGTCTTGTAACTGATGTCTCCTGTGGCAAGATCTACAAGTGTGGCTCTACAGGCTGTGCCAGCTCCACTCAGCAGGCCGTGCAGGGCCCAGCTGCCCTGGATCCACTGCGGATGGGGGGGGTACCTTTTTCTAATTTACCCAAAGGTGCCCAAGAGATTCTCCACATCTCTGCTAAAAGTTATTGAGGAAACATTCTTGGGGTCTTACAGCCTCTGGGCCAGAAAAAAAAGGGACTGTGAGTGTTGAATCATAGTGTCACATCAGCAATAGTGGCGGTATAGAACCTTTTATTTTTCAAAGCGCCGGCGTGGACACTATCCGTGATCAGGGCAGGAAAAACAGAAGCCTCTCTCCTGGTCACAGTTTCTGCAGCTCCCTGAGAGCCAACTGAGTAGCCGTGCGAGAGGGCTAGTTTGGGCAGTGTGGCCGACAGGCTCCTTCCTCACCTGTGTGTCAGCAGCAGACCGGACAGATGTCTGTCATTAGTTTGCAAGCCATGTCTGGGCTTGTGTGCATTCCCCACCATTCTATCACTGATGGAATCCTTCTGCAGCCCCCACCAGCATTCTTTAGTTCTGCTTTTGATGTTCATGAGGGCCCCATGCGAGCGCGTTGAGGAGCCTCAGTTCCCAGCTCCAGACCCTCT